TCAGTTTTGATTTTAGGGTCTGGATGTTTGAAATTCACTGCAGACTGATCCATCTTTGGCGCTTTCACACATCACACACCACAGCATGCTGTGGGCCGAAGAAAATTCATAAATATTGAGCAAACACGTGTTAATGGGACTGTCTCTCATGTGATTTAAATGTGTTATCAGCTTCTTCTGCCGTGGAGATGTCCTGGTTTCCCATAAATTTGTGGCTTTCGAGAAAATCCATGCCCCGGAAGTGATGATGTCGTGTTTTGCGGCTCAAAGCCTTCCTTCCTCAGGACAAGAAGGAGATAACAGCGCATACTTTCCGAATGAAATGGACTTTCTCAAAAGTCACATGGACATATTTCTTGTTTATGGGTGAACAAGACAAGTTCATGTGTGATTTCTGTGCCACTTTTAAAATCTGTTCTAATTTTGTCACACCTGATTGCAGTAATTTGAACTGACTGACATAATTTAAAAAATAGTTAAATTACTTTAATTCCTTTGTTGAAAATCTAAAAGATGAACTTAAAACTACGGTATTAGGATAAAATCATCACTGTCTTTTTAAAACTTAAATTCAACCCCAATTCTGAAAAAGTTGACATGTTGTGTAAAATGTAAATAAAAACAGAATGCAAAAATGTTCAAATCTCATTTTATTCACAACAGAACAGAAACACATCAAATTCTTATAAGTAACTGTACCATTTATTCAGAACAATTATACATTTTTAATATGAATTTCTGAAATTGTGAATTTAATGACAACACATCTAAAAATTGTGGAAACTGTCAATAAAAGCTGTATAATTAAGAAATAACTGGGGGAGCATTTTATGTCAGCAGGTCAGTAAGAGGGCTGGGTATAACAAGAGCATTTTTACAGAGGCTGAATTGCGCAGAAGTAAAGATGGGAAGAGGTTCATCAGTCTCTAATAAAACAGTCAAAAATAGTGTAACAATTTCAAAATATTGTTACTCAATGGAATATTGGGACATCATTGAATGACCCATCATCTACAGTTCATAGTATGACATTAAGAGCCAAGGTGACCTTGCATCACAAACAGATCTAGTTCTGGACATAATGGGCTCAGGAACACTTCCACTAATTGTCTGCAAACACAGTTATAGACACAGCTACAAATTCTGTTTAAAGCTCTATGTAAATAAGAAGCCGTATGTGAACAGAATCCAGAAACTCCATTATCATCTCTGGACAGAGCCCATTTTAAATGTGCTGAGGAAAAATGGGAAAACTGCTCTGTGCTCTGACGTGTTGAGACCGGTCTTGGTCTTAAGACCACTTTTTGATGGTCTCAGTCTTGTCTCGGACTCGACCGCATTTGGTCTCGGTCTTGTCTCGATCTTGGACACTGAGGACTTGGGATTTTATTTCAAGACCAGTCAAGACCACAACTGTGGAAATATCACTAAATTACCAGAATATTGTCCAGTTTATTTGTTAACATCTTTGTTTTTATTGGATGTAAAACGTACTGATTAAAATCCAAGCGACAACGTGACTCATTGAAAAATACATCGTTTGTTACCGCTGTCATGCCCACCCCCTTTCACTCACACACGTCACTCCCAGTGTTACCAGATTGGGTGGTTTACTGCCAATTGGGCAGTTTTCATTCTGATTTTGCTGGGAAGTCTGGGAAGATTTTTGTTGCATTGTTGCATTTTTCCACATATTGTTAAATTACCTTGGCTTGTACTGATATGTGTTCACGTTTAAACAGTAAATATACTGTAACAATATATTGATTGGGCAGATTTTTGTCTGATGCGGTTGTTAACAGATTTTTGGGCTGGAAAACCTCAACTCTATCTGGCAACACTGGTCACTCCCAGAAAGTGAGAAGTGGTTGTCTGAGAAGATGTCTGCCAAATCATCAGTTATAAAATGTGGCTATTTAAATCTCAAAGATTATACTTGTAACTAATGCAACTATATGGTTATCCTTGGAATTATGAAGAGTGTTTTGCCACTGCAGTTGTTTAAGGCTTGTCATGTGATGAAAGCTTCCAATTTAACAGTTGTGTAATTTTATTGTTGAATCACATGAAGTTAAGCCACTGAATGGCTGATTTCCTTGTTATGTAGCTTTGAAAATTTATAAAAGTTGATATATTCATTCAAAAGCAAACAAAGTTGCAGTATGTAACTTTTATAAAAAATATATTTTATAATAATTTTTTTTTGTTTTATTTATTTTATTTGAGGTCTTGGTCTCGACTTGGCCTTGCCCTCCCTCTGTCTTGGTCTCAACTTTGTCTCAGACCCTAAAAATATTGGTCTTGTCTTGGTCTTGGTACACTCTGGTCTTGGTCTTGACTTGGTCTTGGGTTAGGTGGTCTTGAAAACAACACTAGGTCTGACAAATCAAAATTTGACATTCTTTTTGGAAACCATGGATGCTACACTCTTTGTATTAAAAGGAGAGGATGCATACAGCCTATTATCAACACAAGGTTCAAAAGCTTGCCTCTCTGATGGTATGGGGGTGCATTAGTGCCTCTGGCATGGACAATTTACACATTTTGGCACCATTAATGCAGAAATGCATTACAAGTTTTTTAACAATATATTTTCCCATGGAGTTGACATATTTTTCAAGGAATACCTTGTATATTTCAGCAAGATGACATTAAACCTCATTCTTCATCCATTATCACAGTCTGGCTTTTTAGAAGAGTCCAGGTGCTGAACTGGGCTGCCAGCAGTCCAGATCTCCCCCAAATCAAACTCATTTAAAGCAGCATGAAATTAATAAAGCCAGTTGAGATGGTTTGGGCATTTTGTAAGGATGACCCCTGGGAGGCATGTCCAATTAGATGAGCCCCTTGGAAGACGAGACTAGAGCCAGAGGTCAAAATGCAAATGTGGCTTAAGTGTCTTGGCTGACCTGGGAACACTTTGGATTTCTCCTGGAAGAACTGGAAAAGATGTCTGGGCCACCCTGCTTAAGTTGCTTCCTCTGCAACCCTTTTCCACAAATTCAAAATTATATTATTAATTTCCTAAAAACATTTGACATGTTTACTATGTTTCACTACGATTATAACATGGTTTATGAGATTTACAAATTGTTGCATTCTGTTTTTATTAACATTTTTATACAACTTCTTCAAAACTGTGTTTGTATGTTTGTTAGTTTAAAAGTCATTTCAAATTTCAGCTTTACCGAAGTGCGATTTACATCCAAAGATTCTTGGTTCTCGTTCACCGTCCTCATCATTATCTTTGTGTTTTCTGTTTGGACCAACAGGGTCCAGTTGTGTCTCCTTCTCTGTCTTGTGTTCCTCAAAGCACTCGGAGTCTGAGAACGGTCCTGCGGAGCTACAGCCATCTGATCTTGGGCAAACTGGAGCAATTTGTTGTTAAACTGGAAGACAGATGCACATCTCAGTAACATGGGAAAGACTCTTTTCAGATGGAGGATTGAACTCATGGCTGCAGGAGCGCCAGGTCAATAAATGGAGACGTCTGTGGACATTGGGCAGGGGGATATGTTTAAATTCATTCCTCACCTTTTTCCAGATAAATTACTTTTTCACATATGAATTGTCAAACAAAAGAGGAAATACTTTGATCCACTAAATGAAAGTTAAGATATTTTCAATTAGCTGTAATTTCATGACCAAGCAGTGTTGGATAGATGATTTGTTGCTAATAGAAGTCATTTGGACTTAAAGTTTTGTCTCACAGCTGCTGGATCCTTTCAGTGTCAGTGTTAAGAGTTATGTTTTTTGTCTTACTCACATTCTTCAAACCTCTGCTTAATGTGAAACAATTACAACTCTTATCAAACATCTATTCACAAATATTGCTGACTATCTTGAGCCAACTTGAGTCGTTAGAATAATTTCTCCTAATGGAGTCAGTTATGCCCTGTGATGGACTTGCAACCCTTCCAGGGTGTACCCCGCCCCTCGCACAGTGATTGCCGGACATGGGCACCGGTGACCCCCGTGACCCAAAATGGAAGAAGCGGGTAAAGATAATGGATGGAGTCAGTTAGTAAAATATATAAGCTTTAGCAAACAGACTTTATGCACTTAAGACAAAAAACAGTGTATTGTATTATCTTTGTTGTTGTAAAAAAGCTCATTTTGTTTGTTCTTGTTGCACTTTTTTTTATCTAATTTTGGTTTAAATGTTTGCTTTAAAAGTAAATGTACGGATGAACTGGACCTTTTCCTGCACTTTAAATATAAAATATAAAATATAATTCACAGTCTCATTGTAAAATTATGCAGATGTCAATGTTTTGCATCATAAATTACATTTTTTAAAAGATAGTGTAGATAAAAATGTTTTTGAAGGTTGAATTTGATTTTAAAAAAAAAAATCCAGGTCAGGTTTATTCAGATTTATTTTTTCCCCTGCAGTATAAAAACCAAAGGCCTAGCATTCCTTGATTATCTTGAATTGGATTTACTCCTAAAGTTGATCATTTGTAGACGCACCTGCAAAGATATCTTTCAGGGAGTTTGTATTAAAACCCATGCGTTTGTTGACGATATTTTGCTAACAGACCATCTCCATCAATCAATGCTGAACTTTTAAGAAACAAAGATTTAGCCCTAAGAGTTGCCTTTGAGTATCTGTTGAGATTAACTTCCAGCTATAACTGCATCTAAATTTAACTCATCTGTAAAACTGGCTGAGTTGTATGTCAGTGGACTGTAGCGAACAAATTAATTTGGATTGACCCCAGAAGTTAATCATAGATGCACACCCAGTGATTCTGAAAATGTTATTAGAATGTATTAGAGATATTTTTGCAGACGGACGCAGAGACGGGCAAAAAGCACAAACTGCATTTGATTGGACAGCGCGTGATGACGTCATGTTTCCAATTAGCAGCTCATTAGCTGCAGGTGAGGCGACGTGCTCAGACTATTGATGGATTTTAGCTTCGAACCTTGAGTTACGGAGCTCACTGGCGTTAGATTGTTTATAAATATGTTTAAATGTTCATTTCAAAAGTAAAATGTCGGAAAGAACTCCGTTATTACATTACCGGCTGACCACCAGCACCGGCCCGGAGCACCGGCCGGCAGGTGTGTCCCACCGGACCGGGCTGCGGTCAGGAGGCGGGCGGCAGAGCCCGACCCGGAAGCTCGGGGTGATGTTCGGAGTGGTCATCCCGACCTTACTGTCCATGTTCAGCGTCGTGGTGTTCCTGCGGATTGGTGAGTGTGAAAAACGACTTTTAGAGTACACAACCACCTCCAGGCGAGTCCTCTAAACGGGAGGAGTCATTTGGACAAATTCAGTTCACAAAATCAAAATTTGCTGATGATTATTGTGAATTGCCACAAGAAACTTCTATAGGCTTTTTTTAGGGGGGTGGAGTAGGGGAATGATCAGATTAATCTGTGAGGTTTACAGTTATTCAGATTACAGCAGAGGTCTACCTCACAATGTTTAGTGTCTCCTAAAAGTGAACCATTTCAGCTGCTCTCTGCCTAAAACTCCACTTTTCAGCTTTAATTCATTGTTTGATGTGCTGAAATAAATGGAGCTAAATGTTTGATTTGAGGAAAGATGAGCATGTTTTTAAAAGGTTCAGAGTTTTAATCAGTTTTTATCACAGTTTTTATCAGCTCTGTCAAATCAGACCAAACATCATGTTCAGGTTGCATCAAATTTGCAGATTTCCTTCCTTTTTAAGTTTAATCACGCTTGGAAGGTGATCAGATGAAATTTATTGTGACCCATTCTGATGAAATGAGTAACGATGAGGCATTTTTCATTGAGTTTCAAACTTTCCATCTCAAAATACTCTAGTTTGGTGTATCACCTGCACAGTGTTAATAATTTAACTGTTTTGAAAGTGTTGATCTAGCTTTAAACCCTGAAAATGTGTTAAAAATCAACTGAGTTAAATCAACACTTGACTTTTTGCTGTGAAAAATGGTGAATGCCCAAGCTTCACAACATTGTATGAAAGGATTTCCTGCTGCTTTGACGTTCAGCAGGAAAAAAAAGTGATCTGTTTCTAAATGAGCTACAAGGTTTATAAGACAAAGGATTATTTCTAAAAACATACATGTTACAAAAAAACCTTTTGATTAAATGAGGTATATTGGGAAGATTATTTTATTTACCTGGATTGCTATTTATGGTCTCATTTTTACGCAAATTTAAAAATCAGTGCTTTTATTTTGGTTTTTGTTCCCCCTCCACTGCAGGCTGTGCCATTCTGACTCATTTTGCCAGCAGGCGCCACAATTTAGAAAAAATAATAAATGTATTTCATATTAAAGATTACAGACTGAGTTGTGCTGAAGGCTGATTCATTGTGTTTTCATGTGTCTGTGAGGATGACTGGGTAACTTCTGGTTTCTTGCAGGGTTTGTTGTGGGTCAGGCCGGACTGTACCACTCCATCGCCATGTTTCTGGTGGCCTATTTCATCATCACAATGACCGTCTTTTCAATTTGTGCCATCTCCACTAACGGGGCTTTGGATGCCGGTGGTGCCTACTGTATCCTTGTTCACCGCTGAACGATGCAGCCGTCACACCTTATAAAAAAAACAGGTAGATTCTTTAACTTTCATTCCCAAGACATGATCAGCCGGGCCCTGGGTCCAGAGTTCGGCGGCAGCATTGGGATCATGTTTTTTCTGGCCAACATTTGTGGCTGTGCTCTTTATGTTTTGGGTTTAGTTGAAGCCATTTTGTCCACCTTTGGGGAGCCAGAAGGTAACGCCCGTTTTAATTTAATGAGGACTCCTCTGTGAATTTATTAAATGCTTGTTTCGACTTTCAGAGGGCGCTGTAGCTGCTGTAGGTTTTCATCAGGCGCTGCCGTCAGGATACTGGTGGTGTCTGCTGTACGCCACCATCCTGCTCTTTTTATGTTTTGTTGTCTGTCTGGTAAGATGCTTCCATTTTTATTTATTCTCAAGTGGTTCATAGTCTCACAAGGATGATGACCTCCATCAGTCACAGACATAAAAAGATTTGTATATATTTATTAAAGGTCAACCAACAAAAAGAAATCAGTAAATCCATAAATGGTTGAAATGGAGGACAGACAATTCTTTAACTGCCCTTAGATTTCTCCTTTATCTTTATAAGTCCTGTGACTTTGTAATTCTGCTACAGTCCAACTGCAAAAATCATTATTAAAATTCAAAATGATGAAAACAATAAAGTAAATGTCTAATTTTGTAATGGACTCATTGAAACTTATGAATTAATTCCAAATGCCTGAAGTAATGTTGCATTTGTAGTTGACCTAAAAGGAACAAATACTTTTCTCTTGATGTAAAAGACAAATAAATGAAATTAAATTTTCAGCACATTTAAATACAAAATCTGGACTTTGGGGGGTGGGGGTGGGTTGATTTTTAAAAATGCATAAAACAAAAATACAGTAAGAGTTCTATGTTCTCATATAAAATGATTATGGTCACTAAAACTGTTGCAGCACAAACCTAAGTGAAGTCTTTACAATTTCAAAAGTTCTCAAAGTCTTAATTCCTGTAGGGGTCGGGTTAAGCTCACCAGTTAAATAACCAAGATGTTGGACACAACACATTTTGTTTTACATTTGCAGCTGTTAAAAGAAACTACTGGAAAATGTTGATTAATGGATGATAATGGTGAGAAGATAACTTGTGTGATTTGGAATAACGCAGATCAACAGACGTGTGCTAAGTGGTAGGACTTGCCAAATAAAACTGGTTTGTCTTTACAGGTGGGGGCCGGCATTTATGCCAAAGCTACGTTTGTTATTTTCATCATAGTGGTGATGGTCCTGGTCTCCATCTTCGTCAGTTTTTTCGTTATGGAGCCCACGGTGGTGGTTCTACCAGAAACGTCTCTAATGGACAACGCCAGCATATGGACTGCTAATTATACTGGCTTCTGGCTCAGCACATTGAAGGGCAACCTGTTCTGTAAGTGCAGGGTGTCTGCATTACATTTGTCTTAACGGTCTTAAAATTAGCCTCCTCAAACAATACGAGACTGTTTAAATGATCTTTGATAATTCAAGATGTTCATGTTTTCAGAGAAAGTTGCAGGAATTATTTATTTACCTGTGCATACATACGTTTCTTTTTTTTTTTTTTACTCAACCACTTGTCTAAACACTTAAGCATGTTTTATTCTCTTCAGCTGATTACACCGTGGACTACACCACTGGCAGTGTGATGAATTTTGCCAGTGTTTTTGCAGTCTTGTTCAACGGCTGCACAGGAATCATGGCGGGCTCTAACATGTCAGGTATAACACACAGAGCAGATTAATGATGGGTGCCACCTTCAGAGGCCTAATGTGTGCTTATTCATGAGTTTGATCTTTGAAATCTCAAATTTACAACTTTTGAAGATGGATTTTATGGTTCTGAAATAGGTTTTAAACCCCTTTTCCATTTTTTCCTCATTTGTTCAGGATGCTGCATCAGCTTGATTGTCAAAGTTGGGTTTTTTTTTTTTCAGGTTTTTTTTTTTTCCCCATTTACCCTTTATTTATCCAGGTAGTCTCATTGAGCCATGAGAACTCATTTTCAAGAGAGACCTGTTTAGGGAGCAGATGGTGGGGGTTAAGGGCCTTACTCATGGACCCAGAGTGGGGTGAATGAGGGTGGGGGCAGGTGTGGGTGCTTCACCTACCCCACCCACATTTTTGATGTTATCGGTACCGGGGCTTGAACCGGCGATCTTCCGATCACAGGGCCACCTTCTCTAACCTATGCGCCACCACTCCCCCCAAGTTTAAATATGTAATGTAGGTTTGTTTTGCTCAAGTCTTCTAAAGTCACTTATCAAAAGCAGCACTGTGTGCAACAACAATGTTTGGTTCACCCAGAATTTCAACAATTGGGTAAATTATCTTTTTATTTTGGCACCAAGTTAATTTTGGCAACCTACACGCAGTGAAAACCCCGTGGTGTTTGGCACCTCAAATGAGGAGCACAAATCCCAAGTTGGGAACGATTAGTGTAAGACCCTAAGGGCTAAACTGCTACTGTTTTCCCCTCAGAACATGCTACAGCCTTAAAATCCAAACATTTTGGTTTAATGTTGAGACTTTCAATGACAGAATAATTTGACAAATATGACTAAATTAGAAAATTGGGTAACACTTTATTTGAAGGGGTGTGCATAAGACTGACAACACCCGTCATGAACATGAATGACTCTTTTTATGAATGTTTGACTCTTGTCATTAAGACTCGTTCATGTTCCTGACATGCGTTATGTCATGTTTATGGCTGTGTCATGTCAGTCTTATGCACACCCCTTCAAATAAAGTGTCAACGAAAATTGTGAGGTTTCAAAAAAACTAAATGGTTTGTGGATTTGTGGGTCTTTTGAAAGTAATGGTTGTATTTTTTTTCCCCAATCTGAGCAGAATAATTTATGTACAGACTAATTTTTTTTTAAAGATTTTTTGACAACTTCAGCCACAGTATGTCTAGTTTAAGAACTTGTCATTTGTTTCATTCAGGTGATCTGAAAAACTCCAGCTTTTCTATCCCCAGAGGAACGCTCGCAGCTGTTTTTACAACCTTCATCACATACGGTCTGCTGAGTGTGCTGGCTGCGTGGACCTGCGACCGGTTAGACATGCAGTTTAGATGCACATCTGAAAATGCACGCAGTTCTTGCACAATTAAACAGCATGGTGTTTCTAAGAAAGATGCAATTTAAGACCATAATTGTCTTCAGATGTTTAGTTGCTGGAAAACTGTACATTTTTTTTTTATTTAAGCACTCAAAATTATTAGTATGCTAAAGTGAAACACTTCTCTCATCACACCTAGTTACCTTCTCCAAAGGGACTACAGTTTTCTGAGCAACATAAATGTATGGCCTCCTATGGTGACCGTCGGTATCTACTCCTCCGCTGTGTCTGCTGCCATGAGCAACCTCATAGGAGCCTCCAGGATCCTGTATGCTCTGTCCAAAGATGACTTGCTGGGTGAGTCTTGAATGTACCCCGCTGCCCAGTGTTTGCAATTTAAAGTGTTGTTCAATCGTGCAGTTGAATACATAATCAGTGCAAACTGGATGATTATCCATAAGGAAATAAGTATCTTTAAACATAGTAAGCAATACTCAAGTGTCCTCCGTCTCTGAACAATTTGAATAGTGAATGTTTGTAGTTTTCAAGATGCGTTTTCGAGACTGAAATTTGAACAGGGAATGTAAACCTTAATGTTTTTTGTGCAAACTATTCAAGTGGGTACGAGTTGCACTGTAAAAGGTAGGTTTTTGTTTTTCTTGTCTGAGGTGGCACAGATCCTAGTGAGCAGAGTGAACAATTTTATCTGCCAACAGATGCAATGCTGGAGTCAAGGGGTGGCCATTGGTGATCTTAGCCACCACAGATTATTCTTTGGCCACCACACAGGCCACCCCAGTTATTTGAGGAAACTATACTTTTCAGGAATATAAAAACTAGAAGGCATACGTTTCCTCAAATTATAGGGGTGGCTTGTTTACAAATGTGGTCATGGCCATCTTGGATTTTTAAATGGCGGCCACGTTTTTAATAGGTAACTTTCTTACACCAAAATTCAGCCACACACCATAAAGGTCTGTGGTGGCCATCTTGATTTAGGTTTGCTTCAAATGTTTCTCTGTAGATTTAGATCAAATGACTACTTTCTGAAAGTTTCATTAAAATCTGTTGTGGTTCATGAAATATTTGCTAACAGAGTTGGCTCCAATAGTCGATGACAATGTTTTAGGCAAAGATCTTGCATAATTTGTTAGCACTCATACGTTTTAGGATCATTCTCAGCTACTACCACACCAAATTTTAGGTCAATGTTTGTAAAATTGACTGAGTTGTAGCCATTGGATTGACTCCTAGCATCAGTCAGTTGTAGATGTCCATCCAGTGATTACTTTGTCGTCAGTAAAATTAGTCTGCTGGTTCGAGACGTTTTGATAACAGATGGACAAAAGTCATTATTGTCCACCTTTGCTTTTCAGCATCAGGAAATGTACTGGGGGTGGGAGATAAAGTTGGATGACTTGGCCTCTATTACTGCAGTGAGAATGATTTATAAAAGCAGGGCTAAATATCTGATTTATAGTATATAAAAGCATATGTGGGTTAGCTTACCTTCATCAAATAGTATTGATATTTTATTAATCAGCCATCTGTGTAAAATTGGCTGCCTTCTCCAATGTGAGAAACTGGCACTTGTGTTTTGATTTTCATCTTTTTATTTTATATTTTCTGCTTAAACATTTTATTCTGGAAGGCTGTCTGACAACAGATGGCTCCTGGTGCTGACTTTTTGAAAAGAAAAACACCCTCTTTGTGCGTTTGGGTTACTGAGTGCAGGATGACTCAGTTGTTGATTTGATTTTTGGAAGATTAGCAGTAACAGACTTTTCTCAGTGTTGCATATTTCTGCAGGCAGGGCCCTGGCTCTGGCGAAGAAAACCTCTCGAACCGGGAACCCCTGGGTTTCTGTGCTCATTTCCTGGTTGCTAGTGCAGGTAAAACTCTTACACAAAAATACTTAAACGTAATTTGTTAATGCTGAAAGCTATTAAATGCAGGCACTTCCTTTGCACTTAACCATAATCTTTAATTTTTGTAGTTCAAAATCTAACTCGAAGACTTCATGTTCCACAACCCCAAATTAATACCTCAAAGTTTAGATAAAAAAAAAAAATAAAAAAAAAAAGCTTTAATTTACCCTGGTAGAACTTGGAAAAAGCATCTAATTTCCATTTTACATACTTCTTTGAGGGATAACGGGCACAATAGCCAGCAGTAGTCTGCTGATGACGAATATGTTTTCTTATTTTTACACAGCTTGTCAAGAAAATATCTGCCTAACTTGAGATTAACACAAAATTAGAAACAGTGCTGGAATAAGTAGAAACTTATTCTTTGTGCTGTTTCATACTGAATATTGGTTGAACAATCAAGCTTGATGAAAGCTAAACAGAGTTTTGTTAATGTTGTTGCTAGGTATGAGTTGTTGCTTCAAACTTGGCACATATATTCATGCACACGACCAGTGTACTATAGCTATAATTTAATGCATTTTCTGGCAATGTTGGGACAAGTACAGTACTCAAAATTGTAAAGTGAGTTATATTGATTTTATTCTCAGTTTCAATAAAACGAGTACAAACCTTTTTGGTGACTAAATTTACTACTTGTATACATTTGTCAGGTAATTGTTTAACTCCAACACCTGCTTTAAAAATGGGAATAAACACTTTTGCAGGTTGGTATTTAAATAGATTTTATTTACAAATATCGAAATGAGTTAAAGCTTTAAAACGGCTATAGCTATATATCCCCCCCCCCCCCACACACACACACACACACACACCCACACCCACACACACACACTCCCGTGAACTGATCAAAAGTGGTGGTTGATTCATTGTGTGGGGTTTTACATATATTCCTGCATTATTCCAACATAACGGGTTTGTTCCACTTTGGAGTAAGCTGTTTAGGGGAAGAATCAGTTTTGTTGTGTGTTTCCTTGACTGATGAAGCCTTCCAGGTGGAAGGTGAAACGTTTCACCCCCCAAAAAAAGAAACTGTCCAGATGACCTGACTGAAAGTTGTTGGATTGTATACCTGGATTATTGAGCATGGACTATTTTGATATCCTGCAGTGTTTTTGTAGATATTTTGTTTTCCTACCACCAGGTGGTGCTGTTTGCTGGTAAATTGAACACCATTGCTGGCATTGTAACCATCTTCTTCTTGCTGGTGTACGCTGCTTTAAATCTGGCCTGTTTAGCTCTTGAATGGGCCTCTGCTCCAAACTTCAGGTATAGTTTAAAGCGGGAAGTTTTTTTGTTTGAAAGTAATGAGCTCAAACATTAAACCCAGTTTTCGTTGTTTTAGACCCTCTTTCCGTTGCTTTACTTGGCATACCTGCACTCTGGGGTTCTTGGGATGCCTGGTCATGATGTTCTTGATCAGCTCCATTCATGCGTTTGCCAGCATGGCGTTCATGCTGCTCCTCCTGATGCTCATACATCACCTGGGGCCCATCAGCAACTGGGGCTTCATCAGCCAAGCTCTCATTTTCCATCAGGTACGCTCATCCCTTTCAAAAACATAATTTGACTAAGAAATTTTCAGTTTTAATTTGATCCATTTAAATAAAGTTTCTAATCATTTAGGTACGCAAGTATTTGTTGATGTTGGATGTACGTAAAGACCATGTGAAGTTCTGGAGGCCGCAGGTGTTGCTGATGGTTAAAAACCCTCGCACCTGCACGGGTCTTATGACTTTCATCAACGACTTGAAGAAGAGTGGCCTCTACGTGCTGGGGCATGTGAAGCTGGGATTGCTTGGTAAGGAATATTTAAACAAGAGACAGTTTTCCCTAAAAGAAAAACCATCCAGACATCTGGAGCCACTGTGGTAAAATCAAACAAGATTTCCCAGAAAAAGAAAATCTATCATTTGTGTGCTTAAAGTTGATTAATTTTAAGGCTTTAACAGACATGCAGCTCTTGGTATTTTAAACATCCTAGCTACAACTAGATGTTGGGACATTGGTTTTACATTTAAGCTCCCATTGACATTGATTACCCATTTGCTGTTTCAAGCAAGCATCTGTTGAAATTTTATTTATTGGACAAGCTTATTTATTTAGATAGATAGATAGATAAAAAGAACTACCTCTTTACTGATTGTTTGAAGACGGAGAGCTGTGGTACTGGGATTCTTGTTGCATTCTCAACTTGCAAATAACAAACTTTTTAATAAAAATCAAAAAGCAGTCTGCTCATTCAAGCTTGTATTTTATTTTAGAAAGTACTTTGGGCCACTCACTTTAGTGTCAAGTCTGAGTTGTTTGTAACTTTTGACCTAGTTGAATGATGTCATTAAATAGAGATTTACTTTAGATTTAGTTGTGGTTCAGTTTGTTAAGTGAATAAACTAGTTTATGCTATATTACAAGGTTTAAAATGCTTCTGCAGTTGATTACTGGCCAGTAGCCCTCACCCCAATAGTCACTAAATGATTACTGGCCTGTAGCCCTCACCCCAATAGTCACTAAATGATTACTGGCCAGTAGCCCTCACCCCAATAGTCACTGAAATGCTTTGAAAGACTGGTCATGGCCCACATCAAAGCTACCATCTGCATCAGCCAGGATCCACACCAGTATGCATAATGCAAGAAATGATCAGCAGAGGACGCCATCTCCTCTGTAGTCCACACTGCTCTCACCCACCTGGAGCAGGACTCCTACGACGGATGCTCTTTGTGGACTTCACGTCTTCCTTCAGCACCTTGATTCCCCAGACCCTGATGGATAAAGTACTCACACTAGGACTAAGCCCCTTCATATACAACAGAGTCCTGGACTTAAACAACTGCCCGCAGTCTGTGAGGATCCCCAACTTCTCCTTCACTGTAACCCTCAGCACTGGCTCCCCCCCAGGGCTGTGTGTTGAGCCCCCTCCTGTTCACTTTTCTCACATGACTGCACACTTACCCATACAGGCTGTCATATTGTAAAGTTTGCAGATAACGCGGTGGTGGGATGCATCACAAATGATGAGTCCAGGAGGTCGAACACCTGGAGAGCTGGTGCAGGAAGAGCAACCTCCATATCAATGTGAAGAAGACAAAAGAGATCGTGGATTTCAGAAGGAGCAAGCACACCCCACCCCCAACCCCCCAAACATAGGAGGATCTGCGGTGGAAGTGGTCTCCAGCTACAAGTACTTGGGTGTTCACCTGAATGACAACCTCAGCTGGGCAACACCACCACCAGCCTGATCAAGAAAGTTCATCAGAGACTCTACTTCCTCAGGCGGCTGAGACGAGCTGGTCTGGGAAGCTCGGTCCTCACCACCTCCTACAGGTGTGCAGTGGAGAACATCCTGTGCTCCAGCATTAACGTGTGGCATGGAGGCTGCACAGCTGCAGGAAAAAAAGCTGCAGAGTGGTGAAGGCTGCACAGAAGTCTGTTAGTGTCAGTCTCCCCACCATCACAGACATGCACACCTCTAGATGCAGGAAGAGAGCCACCTGCATCAAGAAGGACCCCACTCACCCAGCACACACTTATCACCCCACTCCCCTCAGGCAGGAGGTTGAGGAGCATTAAGTATAGAACCTCTAGACTGAGGAACAGCTTCTACCCTGAAGCTGTTAGACTCATGAATCTCTAACGAGAAAAATCACTAATACCACTTTGGTGATATGTCACTTTATCTGTGCTGCTGATTATCCTTGCTGCTGATTTATTTCTTTAAGCTGCTATATTCATACCTATCTGCACACGACGGACTCATGTTCAGGCTGCTTTTTGATAAACCGTGTTATATTAATATAATATATACAATTATCTTAGATCCTTGTAAACTGTTTCTATTTTTTTAATACTTTATATTTTTGGGTGTAACTTGGACCTTGTGTACACAGTTTCATTCCATCTCATGTACCACATGTGATGCAAATGACAATAAAGAACCTTGAACCTTTTCAAACTATACATTTCTAGAAATAATTGTTTTAAACTCTGTTTGGTTGTGCAGATGGTTTGACTTCTGATCCACTGCAGAGCTGTTATGACTCTTGGCTGTCCTTGGTGGATCATCTAAAGATCAAAGCGTTTGTTAACCTAACTCTGGCCGACTCTGTCCGACACGGAGTCCAAAATCTGCTTTTCATCTCAGGCTTTGGTAAGATTGTTTGACTAATTGTTCTGTTTGTGATTCAAACTTTGTTCAGTAAACATGTTGCTTTTAGGTGGAATGAGACCAAACACCCTCATTTTGGGTTTCTATGATGAGTGCACACCTGAAGACAATCTCTCCGATGAAACTCTTCCATCTGCAGCCCTTGGCTTGGATAAAGCTTGTCCAACCATGGACCCTGGAGATCAAACCTCCCCCTTCTTTCCTCCTGTACGGGGAGATGAGGACTCCAAAGACCTGCAGGAAGAGGAATATGTGTCTATAATTGCTGATGCTGTAAAAATGGGAAAGAATGTAGCTCTGGCTCGTTATTTCAACCAGTTCAATCGCAATGAAATTTTAGGTTTGGGAAAAAAACTCTGTGTCAAAGAAGGCATCACAGAGTTATTTGTGGACGTATGGCCTCTAAATCTGCTCAATCCAGACAGCCACGGGTATGTCAATGTCTGCTCGCTGTTCCTGCTGCAGCTGGCCTGCGTGCTTCGTGAAACCCGGGCCTGGAATCAGGCAAAGCTTCGCCTCTTCCTGTGTGTGGAGGCTGGCTGCAGCCTGCAGAAAGGCGAGATGAAGAAGGTCCAGAGGATGCTGAAGGAACTCAGGATATCTGCTCAGGTACATGTGGTGGCTTGGGACCAGGTAGTGGCGCTGCACTGGCAGAGAGGAGGAGGAGGGAGGGGGCATGAAAACCTGGGGGAGAATTCACAGGATGACGACGACGACGATGAGAGGGTGAGGCAAGAAGGTGAGCAGCAAGATGCTATCCAGTCGTTCCCCCACATAACGTCTCATTTGACAGATGAATTTATCTGCGCTGTTAACAGCCTGATCTGCCGACATGGCTCTCCTAAACCAGCTGTGTGTTTCCTGTATTTGCCGCACCCCCCAACAGACATGAGCTGTTATCACACCTACCTTCATCAGATGGACCTGTTGAGCAGGAATCTTGGTCCAACGTTGCTCGTGCACGGAATCACTCCTGTGGTCACAACAGACTTCTAACATTTTATGCACAACTTCTTAATTTATTGACCAGCGTTAAACACTTGAAGGCCTTGTGGCAGCAAATTATCCGTAGGTTTAAAACCAGAACACGGATGCTACCAAACCTGTTTTATTCTTGAGTTGAGCCCAAATTTCACATTTTTTGGAAAAAATAAAATAAAATTCTAAGTATTTTCACTTTTGGAATATTGGTGTGATTATGATATTTCTGTGGTTTTCACTTGGATAGCTTAAAGGATTTATAATGAGCTTGCTCTTTTTTTAATGTTTGGTAAAATACTGTTACCATGGGAGGATATTAATATTTTATTTTACTGTAAACATAGAAAAATAATGTCTAAAATGAAGTATTGCTGAATTCTTCACATTTTGTTTCCAGGCGCACTGACTTTCTTGTAACTTAAAATATCTTTATATTTTTTCAGGCTTTGAACTTGAGCTGCTTTTCACTTGGTTTCAGTCCAGTGCCAAACCATTTTAAAGGTTTTTGTTTTGGCCCTTAATTCAAGCACAAAAGGCTCCTAAACTCAACAGTGGTACAATGGCAGACCACTTTAAAATATATCCTTCTAAATTAAGTATTTGGGCTATTCTTAAAAAGCTCAAACCATAACACACATTTTTGAAGGAATGACTTTCAAATACCATTCAATCTATCAATGTCCATGTTATTTATTTTTAAGCATAATTATTTTGTTCTTGCACCCACTTGGCCCAATTTAAAGTTGTGGTCAGGTATGAGAACTGGGCAGAAATTAAATGAAAAAGCAGTGTTTATGTAAAAAAAAAAATGAAAATAAAAAATAAAAATCTTTGAAAGACTCCAAGCATAAATGATTGTTCTGAAACATCTTAATATTACAAGAAGTGTTTGCTTCTTAGAAACTAAGGAGGATATAGAACTTTGCAGTTTAAAAAAATCAAATAGCTTAGACAGACCATCTTAAATCTGTTTTTCTGTGACAAGACAGAAATACAAACGTATGTTGCCTGAAGAAGCCGGTGTAGTTTATTCTTCCTATAGTTTTGATTGAAACAATGTTGGCTTTATAAAGCGTCTAAATGTACTTTAACAAATAAATAAAATAAAATGAAATGAATGTCAACAGTTAACTTTGGATGAGCGCTTTGGACACAGTCTGCTGGCACAGCACATTCAGAACAACATGGATGACTAGGTTCTGACTGGTTTTGTGAAATGAGCCAAATTTCAGCTCCTGTGTTGTGACCGTGTCACATTTCTTCACACCATAGATGGCAAAATGAAGTTTTAAAAGGGTAGTTTAAGACTCCTAATTGTGCCACTGTTGTTTTAGAATAATTGTGAATGAAGTGAAGGCTACCTGACAAACATCTAGGATATTCATGAAGACAGGAGTACCTACAGATGATGAAAGGGCACCATCTGCTGCAGATGTCACATTTGATTTGAGTAAATCCCACGAGTTGGTCCTGATGGAGAACCAACACCCGCCCACACATCGACTGAGAGCCTGTGGGAGGGAGTGGATTCCCAGATGGAGGCAGGGTTAGCTCCATGGGTGCCAATGATGTGAACTGCATCAGATTTTTTCTGTTTTATATATTTTTTTTAAATGTCCTGAACAGACCACTGTTCTTGTGTGACTGCTGGGTCTGGGTGGGTGCTGAAGGTTCTTACCTTCACCTGCAGAGCCATGGATGGAGGAAGTGACTTGGTTCTGCCTGGATAGAAGGAGCACAGATGAGAAAAACAAGGAAGAGCTTTGGTTTTTAATTAGGTTAGTCTTGATATTTCAGAGTCTGGAATTGGAAAAAAAATAAAAATAGTTTTATTTCATGATATGGACCTATTCTGGCAAGTTAATATTCATGTGATTGGTGTTTCATTTGAACTTCAGACAATAAGCTTTTTAAAAGCCAAGATTTATTTTAAATAAAGGCCCTTCTCTGTTAAAGGAGAGCTGTGGATGCCAAGAAAATTCCTAAAATAATTTTACCAACGCTCCCAAAATGACTTGCGATAAATCAACTCCCCTATAAAGACGAGCTACAAGAAGTGAACATTTCCTACAAGATATTTTCTGTTTTCGATGCATCGGAACACCGATTTGAACCAAAACGCATCGTCTCATTACACTTCCATCTGTGGTGTACGTCACGTTTGCTCCAAAATTAAACATTTTTCATTTACGTGTATTGTCACCAGCCTACACTTCCCTGACAAACTGTAAGTAGGAGGGAGCGCGCTCACAGATGGAGGCAAATCCAGCTCCAAGTACTATAAGAGGAAACTGCAATCACAGTTGAACAGAGGCAGAACAACCTCCTATAAAGGATGGTCCAGTGTTTCCTACATGCTAGAGAGAGGCACAGCTTTTAGAAAACAGAAGCTGCACTTTATTGGCTGCTATTTCAATATGTACTGGTCTTTCATCTCAAATAAACAGCATAAAACCTAAAGGTTTTGTTTCAATGCTCCAATTCATCCATTATCTTAAACCGCTTTGTCCTTTCTGGGTCACGGGGGTCATCTTGGACAGGTCTCCGGTCCATCACAGGGACACGCATTCACTCACACATGGGGACGATTTAGTTTCCAATCAGTCTGCATGTATTTTGTCAGTGGGATTCGGTCTGGCAACCTTCTCGCTGAGAGGCAACAGCAACTGTGCTACCGTGCTCTAACCTGTCAATATAAAGTTGAGTCCTGCGAGGTTTGAAGAGGAGAAAACGACTACGATTTTTAAACTTTTGAACTGAATTTTGTGCTGACATTTCAGCTTTTCTAGATTCACATGGATTAGTTTGTGTGACAGATAACCTGGCTGATGCAATGTTCTCATCAGCGCACACAAATTGTGTTGTTGCAGAAACTCACCTTCTGATCAAACAGACACGTCCATCTGTGGCTTACGTCACATCTGCGCCTGAATTCATCCCCCCCCCCC